ACCCGTCCCTTCACCAGTACACACTTCCCACCACCAATGTCCCCAGTTTCCCTCCCACACACTGCCTGCCTCTATGGCACACACTTTTCTTCTCTTTCTCTCACACTCTCTTTCTCTCTTTCCTTTGGCCCAATAGTTCTTGAAGTAGCTGAAGGACTATCCTACAAGGCTTTGCTGATAGGACTTTTACTACTGTGGCCTGTATGGAGGGGTGGGGGCTGAGGGCAAGGGGATGAGGTCCCTATGATCTGTCATGTGGGACTCTGGGTTCAGGTAACTATATCTTATAGAGACAAAATCTGCCCAACTGTTGGTGATGGGAAATGATCAATGGTGGAGGAATGGGTGCTGGAACACTGTATGACTGAAACTGGACTAGGAACAGCTTTGTAACTGTGTTTCTCACTGTTATTCACTTGAAAAAAAAAAAAACCTGCCCAACTTGTACTAATGGGTTAAGAGTGGGTATCTCTGACACACTGTTTTTCTAGAAATTAAGACAAAACAACAAAACCTTAAAAAAAAAAAAACCTTTACTTTGGAAAACTGGATATTAGAGGATGAATCTCTTTTTTTTTTTTTTTTTTGCTTTTTGGGTCACACCCAGTGATGCTCAGGGGTCACTCCTGGCTCTGCACTCAGGAATTACTCCTGGCAGTGCTTGGGGGACCATATGGGATGCTGGGGATCGAACCCAGGTCGGCCGCGTGCAAGGCAAACGCCCTACCTACTGTGCTATCGCTCCAGTCCCTAGGATGAATCTTTTAATTAACATTTAAAACCTGATATTGTCAGGGCTGAGAGAGGGAAGAGTGGGTAGGACCCTTGCCTTTCTGGCAGCTGACCTAGGTTCAATTCTCAGCACCTCATTTGGTCCCTCAAGCCCTGCCAGGAGTGATCCCCAAGCACAGCTGGATGTGACTTAAAGGTCAAATAAATAAATAAAACCTTATCTTGTCACACTCACTTCAGTGAATATACTCTTATAATTTTCTAACAAAATCCTAAAGGCAGTCAAAGCAACTGTTCTAAGAAGTAGGTTTTATTTTCCCCCTAATTCCATTATATTTTTCCTTTCTATATTGTTGGATTTTGCCATGAGCTGAAATATATACTACAAATAGACCTCACGGAAGCATCTCTTGGTCATTTTTTTCTTTTTACAGAGTAGTTGCTATGTATAGCAAAACCAGTTTAAATAGAATAATTCTATACAGCAAATATTGGTTTTTACATGTCTTCATGGGTGGAGCGATAGCACAGCGGTAGGGCATTTGCCTTCTGTGCAGCTGGCCCAGCCGAGCTGGGTGCGATTCCTCCACCCCTCTCGGAGAGCCCGGCAAGCTATTGAGAATATCTCGCCCGCACGGCAGAGCCTGGCAAGCTACCCGTGACGTATTCAATATGCCAGACACAGTAACAAGTCTCACAATGGAGACGTTACTGGGTCCGCTCAAGCAAATCGATGAATAATAGGACAGTGCTACATGTCTTCACACCACACTTATCAATTTTAACTAAAATGACTTCATGTTTTTCACCAGCTTATATCCATATTACATAAGCCTCTAAAGAAAGCATTATGAACAAGAAAGACCATGTTAATACCTGGTGACAGAGCTTATAGCTGAGTTGGCATCAGTCAACGTAGGCTACTGAACACCTAGGGTTTTCTAAGTAATGAGGAAGAAGCGTGAATAAGGATCAGGAATGAGCAGAAATGTAAAACAGGTTAAAAAGAAAAAGCCCAAAACTTAAAAATGGTAATTTCAGGGACAGAAAGAGTACCACAGGTAGGGTGCTTGTTTTGCATGCAGCAAACCTGGCTGTGATCCCCAGTACCCCATATGGTCCCACGAGCACCACCATCAATGATCCTTGAGTGCAGAGCCGAGCTCTGAACTCCAGCAGCTATGGTCTCACAACAAAAAGTGAAATACAAAAATAATCTCAGGTCGATCTATAAAAGAATTTACAGCAAGATAAAGATGTGCCTATTTGGGGCGAGAGAGATGACTCAATGGGCTGAGCACATGCTTTGCAAGTAGGAGGCCTGGTAAGCACAGAGCTGGGGGTTGTCCCTAAGCACTAGTTGGTGTGGTCCACAAACAAGTTCCTATTTCAGAGTTTTCTGGTCCTAGGATGAGATTATCCATGTAAAATGCCTAGAATGGTGTGTAAAGGTTGAATGCATTATCAACATCCTCATACGCTATAAGGAAGTAAATTTGACTTGGAGCATGAATGATAAAAAGGAGTTAGTCATGTAGAGGTCTGGGAAGACAATTTCAAACTGAAATCAACTGCAACTGCAAAGGTCTGAGGCTAGAACCAGTCTAGCCTGTTGGAGGGCTTAAAGATAGGCAGCACAGAGGAATGACAGCGAAGAGTGGGAGTCGGAATGATGAGGTCAGAGAATCTGGCTGAGGTGAGATCATGTGAGCACCTGAAGGCCTGATAAAAGAATTTAAATTTTATTCTAATCTTAACACCTGGTATTAAGAATAGGTATGAGGGCCAGGGAGATGCCTCAAAGGGCTGGAGCACATGTTTTGCATGCTAGAGCCCAAGTCTTTCATCCCTGGCACCACAAGGTCTACTCAGTACTGAGTGGGGAGTATCCCCAAGCACTGTTGGCTGTGATGTTCCCCCCACCTGCACACACACCAAATTAATAATAATATTAAAAAAGAAAAGAACAGATGGTGACATGATTCGATTTGTGAAGGCTGCTGAGTAGAAAGAGGCCAAGCTAGGAGGCAGATAAAGGATAATGATAGCCTTGGACTGGACAAGTAGAAATGATGAGAAATTGACAAGCTAGGGATTTGGTTCCAGGTCTAAAGTTGAAGGTCTAAAGTTGGGAGGAGTAGCTAAGAAATTAGATGTCGTGGTTGAAGAGGGAAGAAGAAAATTATCGGGGACGATGACCAGAAGTTTGGTCTCAGCAGCTGGTGCTTATGGGGTGGAAAAAGAAGAAGAAGAGGAGGACATTTGAGGAGTGGGTGGAGTTAAGAGGACCTAGAAGAAATCAATGGCTCTGTTTAGCTATGCTATGCTGCATTTTAGAGGTTTATTAAATTTCAATGGAAAATACTGTGCAGGCAAATGCCAAACCCTGGCTTTAGTCTAAGGACAGAGGTACAGCAGTTGTTGAGGCATCTCAAAACAAGGGACAAGGTGAGATCAACTGTGACTAGCTATAGATATACAGAAGACAGATGCTGAGCCGATGATTACATATTGAATCATCGTCCAGGGAATGGTGTGCTGTGAGAAGACAAATATCAGATTAATGAAGAGAGAGATTGGTCAGGAAAAACTCTATGGAAGACTTCTACTTGAGGAACTCTTGGAACCCACAGAAAACTACAGTCACACTTATCAGTGAGAAGGTAAGCCCAGAGAGGATATTTGGAATTGGTCATACAACTAATGGTTGAGCTGTAACTTTCCTTTATATTCTTGTGTATGAAACGAGAAGAGGGCGAACCAAGCCCAGAGCTCAAAGTCATTATTCTCTACTACTGAGTTCCTTCCCACTCTTCCTTTATATTCAAATCATGTTTCAGTAAACTGTGAAACAGAGTACCCTATGGCACAGAATACGCTGGACACCAGGAGGACAGGATTAGGAGTCGCTCTGTATGGGCTGGTCTCTGGATGGTTGACTGGCACGTCATCCAATATCCATTTCAGTTGCATCTGTATCAAGGTATATCCTATCAATAATTATAACGAACTATTTACTAGGCTCCCTTACTAAGGTTTTAAACGCATTACTAAATATTTCCCCCTCCTAATAACTGATAAAGTTGACTGTTATTACTGTCCCGTCTTAGCAAGGAGCCACTGGAAACACATTCACCCATCCTGGAAGTAGTTATCCTGTACTTGCTATGTGTCAAGCATGCTATGCTTCTTCAAGCTGGAGACGCCGGTCACACAAAATCCTTGCCCCTGTGCAGCTTCATTCTGGGGTTTAAAGGAGAGGGAAAAAGTAGTCAACAGAATAAACGTGCATCATGCAATAATTAGATGATAAATGGCACTGGAAGGTAAAAAAAAAAACCAAAACAGTAAAGGCCAGACCTAGAGAAGTCGGGGTTTAAAGTCGGGTATCAAGTTTGGAACTGAGAATGCGACATCTGAACAAAGGCTTGAAGGGGGGACCAGATAGCGGTCGGTCTCCCAGGCCTAGAGCATGAACGGCCGCGGCGTGAGCAAAGGCCTGGACATCAATGCCAAGGGCAAACCACGGGCGTAAGAAGATGCAAAAAGGCTTCCTTTCTGAACTGAGTTGCATCGCCCGTTCTTTCTCTCCAAAAAAAGCGAAACGGGGAAGCCCCTGGAGGAGCAGGGACAATCTGACCTCCTCAATCGGCTCAGGGTCCACCCGGGCAGTGCAGCGCTCCCGTCCGAGCTCTCGGGCTTAAAGCAACCCGCTGCTGTCTGTCTCCAAGGCTTAGCCCCCCGGGTCCCGGGGAGAGGCAGCCCCCAACCTCTACTGCAACCCCGCCCCGACCTACCGCCCTCCAGTTCCCCAGCTCCGGGGCTTGGCTGGCATGCACTCAGTCCGGTCTCCACGTAGCGCCTCCCGGGCTACGGCTTGCGCAACTCCGGCCGCGGGGCGGAGCCTGGACCGGGGCCCGACAGCTGCCGCCGCTGCCGCAGGCGGGACAACACCGCCGGCCGCAGACGCGACGAGGGAGCCCCGGAAGCAGCCCCGGCGCCGCCCACAGACCGAGCATGCGCGCGCCCAGTCCGCCCGGGCCGCCGTCTCCGGCCCCGGTGTGGGGGTGGGCGGAGCTACGGCCGCGCCTGCGCAGCACCTCGCCGCACCCTTGCGCCTGCGCGTTGACGCCCGCCCGGGTTTCCAGCCAGCCACCAGCTTTTTTTTTTTTTTCCCCCTTTCCTTTCCTTGGGCTGGGGGGGGGGAGGGGGCGCGTCTCGGCGAGTCACGCTGATGGCGGCCGCCACCCGCCTGTGGTGAGCGAGCGAGCGAGCGGGTTCCGCGGCTGCTCGGGCTCGGCCTGAGGAGGCTCAGCGCGCTCGCCCCAGCGCGGGACTCTGTGGCCGGCGCGCGGGAGCAGCAGGCCGGCGGCCGTCGCCAAGGCCCGGGGCCAGCGGGGCTTCGGGGGCGAGGCCCGCGCGGCGGCGGGGCGAATGTGACGCGCCCCCACCCCCCACGCCGCCCCCCACGCCGCCTTTTCCTCCCGAGTGCGCCGAGCCGCGCGGCGACCCCGGGGCCCCGCCAGGCCACAGACCCCGCCCAGCGGCCAGCAGCAGCCGGAGCAGGCGGGCAGGCCCCGACGGCGGCGCGGCGGCCACCATGCAGGTCACCCTGAAGACCCTCCAGCAGCAGACCTTCAAGATCGACATCGACCCCGACGAGACGGTGCGAGCGAGCGGGACCCCCCCCACCCACGCCAACCCCGGGCGCGCGCGGGGCCGGGCGGGGGGTGGGCGCGCGGGGCGGGCGGGCGGGCGGCGGCCCCCGGGAGCGTCCGGCCGCGGGGCCTGGGCAGCGTGCGGGGAAGCCGCGGCCGGAGCTGCCCCCGAGGGCCCGAGCGGGCGACCCCCGGAGCCCCCCGGGACGGCGCCGCGAGCCCCGGGCGTTGGGGGAAGCGGAGGAGGAGGTGGAGGTGGAGGCCGAGGCCGCGCGGGCTCGGGGCCTGCAGGGCCGACCCCCACCCCCACCCCCACCCCGCCCCGCACCCCCGGCCACCCTCGCCCCCGGCGGCGGGGCTTTGTGGCCGCGGGCGGGGCGGGGCGGGCGGCGGGGGCCGCGGGCTGCTGGCGGATGGCGTGGCCGGACGGAGCGCGCCCGCGCGGGGCCGCGCGGCCCAGGCAGGCCCGGGGAGCTGGTCGGCGGCGCGGCCGCAGGGGGAGGGGCGCGCCGGGAGTGGGGGGCGGGGGGAGGGAAGGGAAGGGAGAAGGGAAGATGCAGGCGGCGCCCCGGAGGCTGCCCAGCCGGACCCGGGCCGGGCCCCGAGATCCTCGACGTGGTGGTGGTCGTCGCTTAGGAATTTAAATTTAAATTAAAAAAAAATATATATATGTAGGATATTCGCAGATTTGCGCCTGCCCGAGGAGGAGGGGTGTGGGGTCGTGGAAGTTTTCATTATGTGCGCGCGCCCCCTCCCCCCCCCCCGTTCCCCGTGCTTGGTTAACCCTTTCATCGGCGTAAACCTGGTGGGACCGTTGAGCTGCTGCAGCCCTCCCGCCGCCGCCGCCGGGAAGTCCCTCCCCCTCCCCCCCTCCCACCACCCCAACCCGGACCCCAGACCCAGATTGCACGCTCGGAGGCCTCCTCGGGGTCTTTGGGGGTTCTGGTTGTTGTTTGGTGGGTTGTGGGTTTTTTTTTTTTTTTTTTTGGGCCTTCGGGTCTTCGAGATGCCGCCCCTGAAACTCGGCCCCCTCCCTCCCGGATTATTGTGTGTCGCCTCGAGTGCCCGATCGTGTAAGATTTTGGTAGGGGTCGGAACTCGGGCCTGCCGCCGACAACCCCCCCTCCCTCCTCCCCACCCCCCCCTTTTGTGATCTCTTTAGCCCCGTTTCGAGGTTGGAAGAAAAAGAACTTTTGGAATCTCGTCTGTCCCTAGACCCTTGGACGCGGAGACGTCCACGTGGTGAATTCGCGCTGGGGCCGCCGTCTCGTCCGGAGTTGTGCCTCTCCGAGTCCCTAGTTTGAAATGGCAGGAACTTTTTTTTTTCCTTTTTTTTCTTTCTTTTTTTTTTTTTAACAAAAACATGTGCAGAGTCCAGGAATGCCGCCACCCGTGGGGATTTGCTGCTTGCGTTTTTTGGAATAGCGATTCTAGACACGGGCAGGGACGGGCTTCGTGCTAAGTTCAGACCCGCGAGTTTTTGTCCCTCTGTATTTTCAGAAGGGGCTGGGTTCCTTTGGGGCGCATTTCGGGGACTGCAGACCTCGAGCTCTTTTTGTGGGTTTTGCAGTTCGTTTCATGTGACCCGGAGACTCGGGTAATCTCTTCCACTTGCATCCTCTGCTTCAGTGAGGATTGTGCCTCCCTTGCGGGGACGTGAAGATTACATGCTGTTTTTACCGATAATAAAAAAGATAGTTGACCAGTGACTACCAGTGAGTGAGTGAATAATGTACACATTATTTAATGCTAAAGTTCTCTCTGTTTTGCTTACTTCCTGAACAGATTTCGTAACTTTTTGGGGGGAATTGTGACAAGTAATTGATCCTGAGATGTTCTAGTCTAGTGTCTACATGTGATAAGTCCTTTTTAAGATGCAGGAGATACCAATTATGAAACAATATTCTGACCACCTGTGAATTCTTAATACTAATAAGTCAGATTCTTCTACTGGTTGTGCCCTTCCAGGTTAGAGAATGAAAGTTAACGTGCAGCTGCCTTTAATGTTTTCAGATAAAACACTTGTAGCTGGAGTGGTAGCACAGCGGGTAGGGTGTTTGCCTTGCGCGCGGCAGCGGCCTGACCCGGGCTAGATTCCCAGCATCCCATATGGTCCCCCCCCAGCACCGTCAGGAGTGATTCCTGAGTGCATGAACCAGGACTAACTAATCCCTTGTACACCGCAGGCTGTGACCAAAAAACAAAAAAAAATTTTACGCTCGTAAATGTCTGTTTGACTATATACATATATATAAAATATAGCTCTTTGACTTTATATATTCTTTGTGCTTATAAATGTTGCTGTGGCAAGAAATTTACCTACCAGTCTATGATACTCAAAATTACAGAAATACTGAAACCTAAATGCATTTTTTATAAAAATCCTTGCTTGGGTTCCTTGAAGTTGAGAAGTGTCTGCTACTTGCTTCACTGATTTTTTTTTTTTCCTTTTTTGGTCACACCCGGGGATGCACGGGGGTTACTCCTGGCTCTACACTAGTGCTAGGGGTGCATATGTGATGCTGGGAGTTCGATCCTGGGTCCACCGCGTGCAAGGCAAACACCATGCCTACCATGCTATCGCTCCAGCAGCCCGTCTTCACTGATTCTTGGGGCACTTTATAGTTAGAAATATTTTAGTATACATTCTTAACTATACTTGCTATCCTCCAGTTTGTTTTAAGGGAATACATTAGCTCTATGAATTACAAATATGTTTCTGAAAGTGTATTTTTGGAAGGCTGATTGTTCATCTTTGGAGGTTGGGGGGGACTCACCCAGTTGTGCTCAGCGCTTATTACTGGCTCTACACTCAGGAATCCCTTTTGGTGGGCTCAGGCCACCATATAATGCTGGAGATTGCGTGTCAGCCATGCAAGGCACTGCTACTAGTACTCTGGTCCCCAGAGCTTCATCTTTTTTGGCCACATCTGGGGTACTCATGGCTACTCCTATCTCTGCTCAGGGATTACTCTTTTTTTTTTTTTTGCCCTTTTTTTGGGGCGGGGGGGTCACACCCGGCAATGCTCAGGGGCTAGTCCTGGCTCATGTACTCAGGAATTAACTCCTGGCGGAGCTCCGGGGACCATATGGGATGCTGGGAATCGAACCTGGGTTGGCTGCGTGCAAGGCAAACGCCCTCCCGGTTGTGCTATCCCTCCAGCCCCTCAGGGATTACTCTTGGTGCTACGGGTGATTCCCCTCATTCATATGAGGGGTGGGGTGTGGATCAAACTTGAGCAGTTACCCCATTCTACCATCTTTGGGAGCCCTTGCTTCATCTTTTTTTGTTGCTGTTTATTATAATTTTGTTGCAATTTACAGAAACAAAAATTAACAATTTTGGGCAGCAAAGGAAAAGTACCTGGTGCTTGACCATTTACTTAAAACAGTTTGTAGATTACTATAACATTTTCAAGATACATACTTTAGTTCCATCTCTGTAGGTTTTTAAATTAACTTCCCCCCACCCACACACAGCATATAGATTATCTTGAGAAGGTGGGATGGGTGAGGGGAGTTTGGGCTATACCCAGCTGTCCTCTTGGCTTACTCCTGGCTCTGTGATCTGGGGATCATATATGATGCCAGGGATCGACCATTCTTGGTTGGCTCTGTGCATGGAAAGCACCTTATGGACTATACTATTTCTCCCCTAAGTTAACTTTTTTTGTTGGAGGGGGTGGAGGGCATACTTGGTGTTTAAACTTACTCCTGGCATGGCTCAGGGAACCATATGGGGAGCTAGGGATCGAACCTGGGTTGGCTACTTGCAAGGCAAGTGCCCTACCTCATCTACTCTGTCTCAGCCCCAACATTTATTTTTGACATGGCACTCAAGAATTCCGGTAAGAAGAAGCAATGAAAATTATACTAATTCAAGGAGACTTCGTTCTGGTTTTAATTTGTAGAATTAAACCAGAAAAATTAGATATACAGCTAAAAAATAAAGAATATAATCAGATTTGGGGCTGGAGCGATAGCACAGCGGTAGGTGTTTGCCTTGCATGCAGCCAGCCCGCACGAGCTGGGTTCGATTCCTCCGCCCCTCTCGGAGAGCCCGGCAAGCTACCGAGAGTATCTCGCCCGCACGGCAAAGCCTGGCAAGCTACCCGTGACGTGTTCGATATGCCAAAACACAGTAACAACAAGTCTCATGATGGAGACGTTACTGGGCCGCTCGAGCAAATTGATGAATAACGGGAGGACCGCGACCGTGATTCAGATTTGGTAAGATTCATAGGGAAAGCTACATTAAGTGGACAGTATCCTGAGACCTCTATTTTCTCTGCTCAATGTTAGTCTTTGGTTTTTACTTAGAAGTAACTGGAAATTAAGTGCCTTAGGGAATATAGAAACTCCTTTTGAGATGAACAGCAAAAATGGACTGGGAGATGAGGACCAGGTAATGATTCATTTGTTTTACACGCAGTTCTTGAGTGACCTTTGACAGGAATGTAGTACTGGTATATCTATGTCAGACAAGATCTGTATTTTCTTTTCTGGGAAACATTGCCTGAATTGGAGCTCAGTAGAATAGGGAATCTACAAAATGAGAAAAACAAGAGGATTATGGTTTTTGTTAATTCTCCCTCCCCCTTTAAATTAGCATAATTTTTCAAATTTTTTTTACAATTCTTGGGTTTTGTTTTGGGGACAGTGCTCAAGGGACCTTCTAGTTGCGGGCATCAAGCCCTGCCTGATTGGCCGCATGAAAAGCAAATGCCCTACCCACTCTGTTACTGCTCCCCTCCTCAATTTGGGGGGAAGGTGGAGGACACCACTAGTGATATTCAGGGATCAGTCCTGGCTCTGCAATCAAGGATCATACCTGGCAGGCTTTGGGACAAGTGACTTACTTGTTAGGGTCCCTTCCCTAACATTAGGTGCTTTGAACTATTTTCTGTTATCTTCCGCTGTTACTCATTGCAAAACAGGCTTTTGTTACTACATTAAGAGTGCATCCCCTATTACAAGAAAATTCAAACCATTAGAAACAAAATTTGTG